GAACAAGAGAGATAGATACATTATCAAATGACAGCATCACAACATAGTCAAATGAACGAACCGAACTCCCTATACGACAAAAGAGCAAAAGCTATTAATAAACTAAACGGGATGAATGAACATGTATATATATATATACAGATGGTAAGAGTGCGAAATGAAATCGAATATTCGATTGTTAAATAGATAAAATTACCAAACAAAATTCTAATTATCATTATTTTTCTAAAAAAAAAAAACAAAAAAAAGAGAGCGTGACTAAGTTAACCCAACAAATTGATTTAATTGAGCTCTTACACTCGTCTTTTTTCTTTCTCTCTCTCTCTCTCTCTCTCTCTCATCATTCAGCCGATTATCACCTTAGGAAGCTAAGAGCATGCACATCAAATCCATTTCCTGCTCCATTAGACAATGTCAGTTTCACTTTTCTTTTCTTTTCTTTTCTTTACTCACATATATATTTTTTTCTTCTCTCATAAACTAAAAAAGAAATTGTCGCCGATTGGCCAATTGAGAAAATGATTATCAACCATAGATATTTTTTTTTTCATTGGTTCTTATTCTTGATTGGCGAAAGATTAACTTGAGAGAGTAAAAGAGAGAGAAAAAAAAAAAAGACACATACAAACACAGCAGGAAGATAATTGTACTAAAAAAGAAAAAAAAAAAAAACGAGTCCATGTAATTTCCGTTAGACATAAATCAAACAAATTAAATGGAAGACGAACAAGATTTAAATGTACAAAAAAAATTAAGTTTTTCAATTGATAATATTCTTGACAAACCACAACCATTATTTATTAAAATTAAACATCATCATTTACTTATTAATGGTAATAATCAAAAACATTTATCATCCAATGAAAATAAACATATACATTTAATAAATAATCATGATGATGATAATAATAATAATAATAATCATGTTTCTAGTGATTGTTCAGCTATATCAACAAGTGATGATGATGATGTTGAAAGTTGTTCAGAAGATGGTATTATAAATCAATATAATCATCATGAAATTATACATAGAAAAAAGAAAACTCGTACAGTATTTTCACGTACACAAATATTTCAATTAGAAACAACGTTTGATCGAAAACGATATTTATCTAGTGCCGATCGAGCTAATTTAGCTCAAGGTTTACGTCTTACAGAACAACAAGTTAAAGTACGAATAAAACTTTTTTCTAAAACGAAAAAAAAAAAAAAATTATTCTTTTTTTTCTTTTTGTCATAGATTTGGTTTCAAAATCGACGAAATAAGTATGTATTTTAATTAGGAATGTTCCGAATAGAAGTGACTAGAGTCCATTGGGTTCATAATTTTCGAATCCGAATGCGATGAGCTTTATGGGTGACCCTTCAATCTTGAAAAGTTTTCGTTTTTTTTTTTTCCTCAGTAAAACAAAGGTCGCCCATAAACCGGATTCTATTCTATACACTAATTGACAAGGCACATTAAAGAATGTGGGGCATCGTTGATCTGTAGAAGTATCTTCTATTGATTTAAAAAAAATAAATTCTATTAATTTTTTGTTCTTTCAGACTTAAACGTCAAATAGTTGAAGCAAGTCAATCAATAAATTCTGTTGTTGCATCTTTACAAACATCATCATCATCATCAACATCATCATTAAATAATTCGATAATTAAACATCCATTAACATTACCCAGTGATTTTTCGTCTTCATCATCTAAACAACATCATCGTTTTGATCCAGCATCTTTTTATGAATTAGCTACTCTTGCTGCAGCACATGCAGCAGCTGCTTTTCATAATAATAATAATAATAAAGCACAAAGTAGCACAACATTCCAAGATTTTGCCAATTCTTTTACAACTCAAACAGCCGTTTAATTTTTATGACTGAAGTTTTTTTTTTTTTTTTTTGTTTTGTTTTGTCTCATTGCTTTTTTTTTCCTGTATGTCTATTTGTATGTGTGTGTATGCACTGACAAAAAGAAAGAGCTTTTCCAAGTAATCGAAGCATTTCAAACTATGTTATTTGATCCGTTGCGCCTACCAAAATGACAAGTATTCGAATTATTGAGAGACAATCTGCATATGTGAATGAAAAAAAAAAAGAAAGAATGAGAAACGCCCATTTCTTTTTTTTTTGTTGAATACTTATCGAATAAATACTGATTGAACGCGTGTCCAAATATAATCAACGAGCAGAAGGTGATTAGTCTTTTGACGCCAATGATTGAGTCATCATAATGTTTAAGGTAGAAGAACAATAATAACGCCTTAGGAAATAACAGTCGAAGTGATCATTGAAATAATTATCAGAAGAATTTATATTAAATAAGACAAAAAACAATTTCATACAAGTTTAAACAATTAAAAACTTTTAATGAATAGTTTTATTATCGAATAAATTTTAATGATCATATCTAGAAATTATATCTAAATATGAATCTCTAACTAATAGACAAAAAACAAAACAAAAATACATTTTCGATTATATCGTATTGAAATTTGTTCATCGGAAAAGAAAATTATAGAGGAGATTTCAAATTGATAAATTAAATGAATATTTCCAATATGATTAAACACAAGAGAAGTCATCAGGGAAGACTTAGAATTTCTTTATAGATAAAACAAAAAAAAAAGATCATCATTAAAGTACAGAAATGAACAAAAAAAGAAAAACGTGATAAGTAATATTCAATGAAAAATCACATGCAGCTTCTATATACATTTCTAAAGCACGATAATTCTTCAACATCTAATACAGATACAGATGTAAAATTCTATTGAAATTCAATCATTAATACTGTTCCAATAAGATAAAGTTGCAAACTAATTATAACTATATAAAGAGAGGAGAAGTAGTGTCCTACACGAATACGACTGGACCCGAACCGGCACTTAGAGTCCAAATGAAAGTTAATTAGTATCTGACAGATACTTTCATAGTCACAGTACAGTTTTCAAAGTTTTATTTTATATGAAAAAGTACTTTGTTTTGTTTCTTCCATAAACAGTAATAAAAAAAAAAAGCAATCATCTCAAATTTCACAAAAAAGTAAGTCATTTAGAATTCATTTGATGTCTTTCTGCTTCTAAAAATCTGGTTGCTTGTTGGTGTCAAACGTCGTAATCGTGAATACATAAATGACTGCTTTTTCTAACACAATAATACATGTTCACTTTTTTTTTGATAATTCATTTTCCTGTGTATGTATTCTATTGCTTCATCATCATTTATAGATGAATTTTTATTAAAAAAAATTCTTTTTAGTAAAATAATATCGCTTTTCCAATTCTATGATCCGTTCTTAAATACAATAAATTGCTTATGTTTTCATTCCTATACTTTTATGTAAAACAGCAGTTAGAAAAATTAAAAATATTTTCAAACATTGATACCTAATTAATTATACTTAAAATACAACTGAACTTGTTTCAATTCTATTATTTTGATTCTAGAAGAATCCATTTTTTTGCTGAAAGTTTCAAGATATTATAAAAATCATGATATCTCTATCTTCGTGAAATTTCAGACTAAAATTTCTTGATTCAGTTTTCATCATATTCTGTAATAGACTGAAAATTTAATCAACAATGATCACAACTCAAGAAGCAAGCGTTGATAGTACATGTCCTTTTAGGACTTTTGTTTGCACAATGAACTCTAACATATGAGCTAGAACAGAGATTGTTAGTTGGAAGAGTGCTCTCGTTAATTCACTATTTTCATTTTTAGTGAGTGAAATATTGATTATGCAAAACGAATGAGGAATCCTATGCCACCGTGTCTGTATAATTGTGAGTTATAGACTGACAATAAACGAATAAATATTTTATATAACACGATGAGCGCTAAAAGCTTAACAACAATTATTCAATCTTGATTTATTGAATGCACTAGTGTTTTTTGGCAACTATAACTATCGATTATTGATTCATTTTTTTTAATACAATAAAACACAAATAGAAATATACTATTGACACCTAAATGTAATGAATGCGGATGGTTTTTTTTTTTAAATAACTTTTGATAGGAACAACATAGAGATCTGAAGTTTTCACCATTCAAGAGAGAACATCCGGGGTTATCAAAATCTAATTGATCAGTAATCGACTAATTAAGTGAGTTCTTAGCGAAGATTTTGGCTGTTCATATGAACGATCAATAGGAAAAAGTCTTCTCTTTTGATCTTCGTAAACGTCAAGTTCACAGTTATTGCTGTTGAAGACTTTTTCTGAGGCCCTCGATTTCAGCAATTTAACCTTGGGACCTGAAACTAGATTTTTGAAATTTCAATTTTTATGCTGTATAGAGAATGAATTTCAAAAATACTGAAATAGTAGTCTTAGGTTACTCTGAAAACTGTCAATATCACTATTCGACTTAGTATGATGAATAACCTCTGCATGAGTCTCTTTTGGAGTCTTTCAAATTTCAGGAAAATTCTTGAATGAAAGCAGCTGCGGACTTGAGATTAGTGAAGATCGAAAGAGAAGACTTTTCTCTACCGGTTGGCCATATTCTAAGCCAAAATCTAACAAGAAATGAATTCAGAATCTCGTTTTTAAAATCTTCGTCTAGTATTCACCTCATTGGTTAATTAGATTTTGACCATCATGACTGTTCTCTGTTGAATAGTGAAGACTGCAAGTCTCTATGTTGTTCCTATCGAAAATTTGTCTAAAGTTACATTATTTTGAAAAATAATTTTTCTTCTAAACGATAAAATTTAAACGAACACGTGATCAGTTATATTGATACGTTCGTAACGAGTTGTGTCGAATCGTTTAGTAAACTTCTTCTATAATTTGAATGTCATGAGACATTTTTTTCTATTATAGCAGGGCGTTATACATATCATTTGAAAATAGAGGAAGAAAAAGAGAATCGTTTTTCATAGATTTTTCGATTATATATAAAGGCATGTCTTGAAGGCCATTTTTATTTATTTATCGTTTTCTCTTTCTTCGTACATATAACATATATATATATATATATATCTATACGATTTAAACAATCATGATTAGTAGTCGTATTATGTTGGTTGCTGCACCATCGGTTTTGATCTTAATTACAATCATTTCAACAGCTCCAATACATAATAATGAATTAGTTATGGAAAAATTAAGTGATAAATCTCCTAATACAATAAAAACAATAGCTGAATTAATGGTTTATAATGATGATAAAGATACATCAAATGAATCAAAAGAACAAAATATTGAATCAACTACTCGTTTGCAAGAAGTTATAGCTACTGATATTCGTGTCGTTAATATTACTGAAATATCTCTTTATATTGATGATATGATAAAAGCAAGTGATAATATTCTTGCCAATATAGAAGCTGAATTATCTGCAATAGCAACAACTGAAAAACTTGAATCTTCTCAATCAAATCAAGATGATGATGATGAATAAATAACAAAATTCTATTATTCAACATTATTAAGACTGATAAACATTAGTTTTAGGTTTCTTTTTTTGTGTTTGTGTTAAACTTGATTAAAGTTTTCTTTTCTTTTTTTTTTTCGTTTCGTTGTTTTGAAAATATATTTTTTTCGAAATAGTAAATTGAATTAATGAATGATTTCATATGACAAATTCGAAAGATTAGATATAATTCAATGATAATTTGTTTGCCATCATGATCAGACATTGGTAATCTACGCATGGTGAAGACTAAAAAAAAAAAGAATATGATTGACAGTATGTGAAATGGAAATGTTTCTATTCTTGAGAAGTTTTGGAGTCGTCAAATCTTTAACATTTCAATTGATCAATCGCTTTTGAATTCGGACTCTGTACGTAAGCTAGACTCCAGTGACATATGAAAAACCTCAAAAGGACAAGTTTCTTTAGGGCTTCTGTTCAGAGTTATAGGTATTTTACTAGAACTTGTTTTTGAGATCAATTTGAAAATCTAATTGGGTTTCCGAGAATTCGATTTTTTTTACAAAGTATTAAAGTCCCAAAAATCACTGATATTTCACGAAAGATGCTTGAAAATGCTGATGGTGAATAGTTGGTTGATTTTATCCTGATCTAAACTGTAATTTTCGAAAACCACGATAAAATTCTGTAATGAACTTTTATACAGAATATGTCATTTCATTTCGCAGTAGAATACTAACCGTTCAGATCCTCGAGAAAAATTTCATTTTCTAAAATTCTGTAACAATCGCTATTTTTCGAATATCTCAGCTCTTACCTAAGAAAAATCAATGAAACTTTTACTGGTAGTAGATCCAAACAGTCTTCCATATTGCATGTTTGTTTGCGCTATCGTCGGTATAATGGACATTATACCAAACGATCTATCAGCAGTTCTTGTTTGGCTTGACTCACACACACACACCAAACTGATTTTATACAATTACTCTTCAATTTTATCGAATAGTACTTTTCATTATTTGTATAATACATAAATCTAATATATCTATGTGATTCTTTTTTACTCATTTTGTTAATAAATTTTCTTTCTATGTAATCATTCTACTCATCAATATATTAATTCTTCTTTTTGATTATGAATTAATTAGACTCTTATATAAAACAAATAATATTTATTTACATGAATAATTCAATCACGTAATTGATTATTTTTTTTCACTACAACATAAAATGACAATAAGGACTTGATACAAAGCCACACATCACCGGAGATCGAGAAAAGCAAAACTCTGTTCTTTTTATAAATAAAGAAAAAAAAACAACAAGATATTCCAATTAATCAGGCTCCAATAGTGACATCAAATTAGATTGTATACTACGATTTTTTTCATTATTTATATTTGCTGTTAATAATTTCTTCATATTCATAGATCCAAAGTTTTTGTTACCATTCGATGTTGGTATATCAATAATTATATCATTTGTTGGTACTGTTGTTGATGGACGTGGTTCAAATTTAAATTTATTATTAAAATAAAGTGTTATATATGGACATTGACCAAGGAGAATCTCACATAGATCACGTCGAAGGCCAAACCACCCTATAAAAAGAACAAAAAAAAATGTTTTTATTTTGTTTTGTAAAATAAAATTACATGGATTGCTATCGGTAGCGCCAAATGAAAATATTAACCAAGCTATTAAAGCAATCCATAATGGAATAGATATCACAGTGAAGGAGACTTTTTGAATTTGTTCATTGTCTTCATGATCAAGTCGATCGACTAGTAAAATCTATAAATAAAAAAATATTCATTTAAAAATAGATCAATAAAGATCGTAGCCATTGAAACTTGATTAATCAGCAATTAATCAATGAGATGAGTTCTTAGTAGAGATTTTCGAAAACGATATTGTGACGCTATTTCCATTTTAATATAGAAAAAAATTCTTCTCTTTGAATTTATACGAAGCCGACATTCCTAGTTTGTTCCATTCAAGAGTTATAAGACTTTCGATTTCAGCCAATTGACCTGTGATCATCTGGAAAAGTGTTTAGACAGGAATAATTCACTATTCAACTCAGCATGGTGAATTACTCCTGCTTAGCTGCTATTTCGGATGTTTGCAGGTCACTTGGGTGAAATTGAGGGTCTTAGGAAAAATTTTATAACTCTCGAACGGAACAATCTAAGAATGTCGGCATTCCGTAAAACGAAAGAGAAGAATTTTTTTCTATATTAAAATGGAAATAACTTTAGAATATCGTGTTCGAAAGATCTCTACCAAGAACTCATCTGATTGGTCAATTGTTGACCGATAGCCACTAGTGTTCTCTGAAAATCGCAGATCTCTATGATGTTCCTATCAAAAGTTATTTAGAAAACAGTTGAGTACATTATATTTTGCAATAAATAGTAGTGATGTGTGTGACCATTTGTTTTTTTTTTTTTGGTCATCGATCCCGAACTCTGCTTTGATTTATAATAAAATCGGTACATTTTTAGCTTTTTTTTTATTCTTTTTAAAACTCGTACATTTCCTATGACATTTTATAGATCATCTTAACCTTTATATTATCATATTCATATTATTTTAATTCTTATCAATTCTCATTTTCTAAATATTCATTCATATTTTTAATAAAATCTAAACAAAAATAAAATATTCAATTACCGCAAAAATGCTAAATGGAATGAACATAATTGCATAGATAATTGCTTCTGTTATAGTACTCGATTCACGTTGATTAGGTATTAAACGACGAGAACAACGATGAACAATAGCAAGAATTAATTTTGAAATAACAAATAATAAGGCAATACATAAAGAAACCCATAATGGAATAAAGACAATCTATATTCAATAACAAAAAAAAAGAACAATACTATTAATTTATTAATCAAATAAAAAAAAAACAACAAAAGAATACATACAACATATCGCCATGTTATTGCAGAATCTAAACGAAGTGGAAAAAACAAAAAGAAAAGTCCATTAGCTGAGATAAAGGCTTGTATCTAAGCAAAAACAAAAAAAAAATAAACAACTAAATAATGTTTTACACTTAATTTTTTTTTTTTTACATACGAGAAAATTTCTTTGTACTTTTAATGACCATAAACATGATAAAAAAGTTAGAAATGTACATAGATATAATGGAATACAACATACAATCCAACGAGTTTCTAATTTATTTTCTAATTTGTCACATGTCAATATTTCAAATATAAGTATAAATATATGAAGAAAAAAATAAATAATTAATGCTCGACAATCATTATCTGGTGCACGAATAATCCTTAAAAAACAAAACGTTTTAATATATTTTTATTATGAAAGAACGGAGGTGCGCATCCGCGAAATCTTAATAGCATTTCTTCTTGTTGCAAATTAAGAAGACAGATGCTTCTTCTCATACAGAGTTACAAACCAATGAGCTTAGTCATAGGATGATCAATAGAGCATGATTTAATCTATATTTTGGTATTAAAAGATTATATAAATGATCTTTTGTTGAGCCAAGAAAAATTCTTCAGCAGCCAAAATCGATGCATTTTTAGTCACTAGTCAATCTTGAGAACCTAATATCATAGAGAATAAAAATGAACATAGTACGAAAATTTCAGTGCTAGTAGAATATATAACAGACTACAAGAGCATGTTTAATTTGTTAGATTAGTTACTTTTCTAGTCAAAACAAATAACATATTTGGAATCAGCATCAAAAAGTTAATCGATCTATATGAATTTCAAATTGTTTAGACAACTTTTATGTTTTATTCCTGGTTCCTCCCTCAGGGTTCAGTCAAAAAATGAAGTCAATCATAATTTCATTTGGACAGTGGAAAACAAATTCCGATCTTGTAAAATGATAATAAGATACAAAAAGGCAGATGACTATGCATTAAAAATGTTTTTATAATTGACTTCATTTTTTGACTGAACCCTGAGGGGAACCAGGAGTAAAACATAAAAGTTGTCTGAACAATTTGAAACACATACAGATCGATTCAATTTTTGATGTTTTTTTTTTTTGACCTCTTTCTCTTTTCTGTCACGTATTTCATATGCACTATAAGTATGTACATTTTATATATCACTCGACTGCTGTACGTGCAAAGTAAAGAATGGCATTACAACACGAGCTTACTTTACAAGAAAAAAAATTGATTGAAAAATATGATATTATTTCATAGCATACCATGCTTCAACTCTCTCTCTCTCTCTAGTGAATAATTTTGAATGGTCTCAATGATGTTCACAATTTACTGTTTATAATCTTTTGATACCAAAATGCAGCTTAAACCATGTTCTATTGATTCTATCAAAGACGGAATATCTATCTTCTTAACTCACAATACGAAGAAGTATTATTAAACTTTATACACAATAAGATTTGTCAGCTCAAGCACGACACTACATGATCAGTTCCATGTTTCTTTCTGAGAAAAAAATTACCTATTTCTTTCGCCATTTTTACACCAACAAAAGACGCCTGTACAGGCACCAAAGACGACAAGCATTTTCCATATAAATAATGGCAAGAAAATAAGCCAATAATTAATTTTAATAATTCCATCAAGTTGTAAGGCAAATAAAATTGAAAAGATCAATAGAGAAAAAGTAACAATAAAACGTCTAAATTTTCAAAGAGTAATGTTTTTTTTTTTTTTTTTTTGAAGAAAAAAAAGACAAGAATTTTCTTACGCTGGATTACACGACTGTATATACCGCGAGGTGTCCATCCATTAAGGATTCATCTAAAATAAAAATAATGTTTTATAATCTTTATTTTTTTTTTTTTTGGACGATCGATATATATATATGTTCATTTATTTATTAATCAGGTTCATGCAATTTTAAAATATTTGATGAAGGTAATATTACTGTTGTTAATAATTCATTTTCAAGATGATCATTTTTAGTTTGATCATAGAATGAAGATGAATTTTTACGAAAAAAAAATCTACGTGAATGTCTATGATGATGACGACGAGATGATTCGAGATTATCATTCGATATTACTGGTGAATTTACTCTTATTGAATTAACATTATGCAATGATATTGTTGGAGAATTTGATGTAGTAAAATTATATTCAATATTGGCATAGGTTTCAAATATCGGACATAAATGTAAAAGCCACTCGCATGCATCTTGTCGTAAACCGAACCACCCTTTAAAATAAAAGATAAATAATTAATTAATTTTTTTGAAAAGAAAAAAACAATCTTTCTTACAATGATTAGCTGGTACTCGACTACCAAATGACATATAAATAAGTATAATTAATGCAAAATACAATGGTAGACAAACAACAATAAATGAAAGATCAAAAATACGTTCTAAATACAAGACTAAAAGAATCTAAATTAAAAAACAAAAAAAAGAAGCATTTTTATTAAAATAAAAAATGCAAAAAGAATCATTTTACTTGAAAAATAAGTAAAAATAAAAGTACATATATATGTCCAACAGTTGGGCTTGCTAAAATATGACAATATCGTCGATTTAATCTTTGTTGTCCATTTGCAATTTGATTAATATCATTACGATGATAATGTACAAATGTCCATATGAGACGACCAACACAAAAAATAATTGATATACCCATTACAATCCATAGTGGAATAAATACTGCCTATAAAAAACAAAATTAACTTTTTTTTAATTAAATAAAAAAAAGAAACAAACCGCATAGTTCCATGTAATAATACTATTATCTAATTTAAGAGCAAAAAAAATAAATTGTAGAATATTAACAACAAATAATGCTTGAATCTTTAAATTAAAAAAAAAAGAAATATTTATAAGAATTAATCTTTCTTTGTTTTTTTTTTTCTTTACCTCCCAAGATCGACCATGACGTAATAACCAAACATAAGTAAATACGGATATAATTGAAAGAATAATTAGTGGTAAAAAACAAATAATCCATGTTAAACGAGAGTCAGAACCATAGGGTTGACCAAGATTATAACATACTAAGATTTCAAAAAAAAGTAAAAGAATTGTTTCAATTAAATTAAAAAATAATGCTCGACATTGAATTGGTGAATTACGTTCACGACTAGAATAATTGAACAAACACAATAAAAACTTCTTTTTTTTTTCTTATTTCAATAAATTTACTTTCTCGATCGAATGCAACAATAAGTACAAATACCAATAATAGCTCCTACAATTGCCAAACTTTTCCAAATAAATAATGGTAAAAAAACCAACCAATATGGCCAATAAATGAATGACTGTTCACGAAAAGCATAAAGAATACTAAAGATAAGTAAACAAAATGAAACAACAAATTGGCTAAAAGCAAAAACAAAAGAACAAATAATAAATTTAGAAAAGCAAAAACAAACAATAGTAAATTTACCATGCATTGAATTCTTGCCAAACTGAAACTCTGTTCATCGAATCATTTGATATTACAGAAGATCATTTATTAAAGACAATATTTTTATTAGAAAAATAACTCATCTGAAAAAAACAACAACAACAATAAACAAAACATCCGCATAAAAATAAAAGATAATCAATAATATTAAACAGTTCTTTTTTTTTCCTATGTTGTGTGTCTTGTCGTACTAGCTAAACTTAATCAGTCATATGGTTTTTTTTTACCAATGTAGAAATGGTAACATATTTTTCCGAGTAGATGGCGCTATGAATTTGATTAAATAGATATATTAGTAGATATGTTCATAGATAATTTTAATTGCGTGATGTTTTTATTAGTTCTTAGGTTTTTTCAATAGATAAGAAAAAACAAATTAAATCATTAGAGATAAGAATCGAAGCGGGAAAATATAAGAAATTAAAACTTGATAGGTTTTTAGTCAAGGATTTCTCAAGGTCGTCGAGATTGAGCACGATAATTTTGGAAGTCGATTGAAAGATAGTTGTTAATATTGAATTGTTGAGCGAAGAAAAAAACAAAACGGTTTTTAAAATTGGGCGATTACCTCTCGGAACACCCTGATCTTACTCTTCGATCTCCTTTTATTGCACTTCTCTATTTACTTTGTTATTTCATAACTTTATATTAATTGATTTGGCAACTATATCATCCAAATTCTGTTGATTCAAACTCAAGCTATTTTGTCATATGATCTGAATACTTCATTAGTAATCTAATCAGATGAGATGATTACTAAAACAGCTTCCAATGCATATGAAACTTTTGGTTTGATTCTTGTGAGTTATTCAGCGATGTATTGTCATAAAACAATCCTATTTTTACATATCATGGATTCAATTGACATAGACTATTTAGGTTTTTTTTGTAATATTCATAATAAAAATTGATTTGGAGAGGAGTTTCTTATAGAAATTGTAGCACATACATTGATATTATCTGATAAATTGAAAATTAATATAAATCTTCTATAAATTCTTGCCAATGAAAATCATATTTATTTTCAATTTGAAAAATTTTATTTTATTTTATTTTTTTATCGTCTTTATTTATTGTTTTGAATAACAATGAAAAGTATATTGAAACAAACATTCTATCTTAATGGTGAAGATTTTTCCATAATTTGATGTTGTACTACAGGTTTAAATATTGTTTTTCGTGCTTCAGCTTCTGATACATTCATTAATATATCCATTTTAGCTTTTAATCGTTTAAGTCTATAACTAATCAATGGACTCCAATGATATAATAAAAATGATAATCCACCACTATTTGGTATTCTAACACGTGTTTTTCTTCTTTCACCATCTTGATCAAAAAGATCTTTTCCATTTGGTAATAATTCACGTAAAATTCGATTTCTTTCAAGTTGTTTTTCTAAATATTCAATACCACCTTCAAGTAAATCTAAACCATATGATATTGTTGATGAATCACGTATACGACTAACTTGCATATTAATAAGACGACCAATAAATGGTGAAAAATAAAAACATAAAAGACCATTTAAAAGAAGAAAATGAAAAAAAAGAAAACGTTTAAAACGTGTACGAAATTGTAAACGAAGACGTGTATAAAGTGTAAATGGAAGAAAAAATGAACTACCAACAACACACCATGCTATCATATGCCATAGACCTAGTCCTGTTTCAAATTGATCAGCAATTATATATTTTTTTGCTTCATTCGAAAGAATAAATGTTTCAATTAGTTTTTGTACTAATAATGTTTCACCTAAATTAAAGATATGAATAAAAAAAAAAAAAAATTTCTATATTAAGAAAAAAGTAAAAGTTACGTGTTATTGGTTCATTTGATGTTGGTGATGAAGGTGGAGGTGGAGATGGTGCTGATGGTACTGGTGTAGGAGTACTACTAAACCATCGACTAAACCAAGATTTTGATTCATTTGATGTTTGAATAATATCTTCTGATTCTTTTTTTGATTGTTCATTTTTATTTAATTGAAATTTTAATTTACTTTGATCAATACGTGATAAATCAAGTTTAGAAAAATCTATTTCTTGACCAGAAATATTTATTTTAATTTTTTTTAAATCATCAATTGATGATATATTAGCCCATTGTGGAACCATTATATAAACAATACCATTAAATAATGGTGTAAAATGACCATTCATATCAAAATCCATTCCTGTATGTACACATAAACGAATATCAAATGTAGGTGAACGACGTAATTGTTCTGGTAATCGCATTCGATATGCAATCTAATTAAGATATAAAAATAATTATAAAATAAAAACTAAATATTAATTTACTTCAGTTGCAAATCGATTATATGATGAATTAACTTTAATAAATTCTCCATTTTCATTTGTTGATCTTATAAATCTATATTTTAATGTTTCTTCTGGTTGAGCCATTGTATAGATATATGGACCAATAACAACACCTTTGTTTAATAAGAAAATAATTATTGAAAAATTTTTAAGAAATTTTGCTATATACCTGAACATGCTATAGCACGTAATATTTTGGCAAGTTGAGTCGCTTGTGTTTGACTAGCCATCTACAATGATGGAATTTTTTACAATAAACAAAAGACAAAAACATATTCGAAAAAATTCATTTTTTTTTTTATTAAGATTTTCGTATTCGTTTCACATTGGTACAACC